GGGGGGGAGCAGGGGAATGTGAATATATATACAAGAAAATATACACCATAGGATTTTCATTAGCTATTTTACCAGAAATAGATATTTGAGTCTTTCTAAAAATACCTCTGGGTAGACTTGAACCTCCAGGCACCAATCTCCAACCTTTTGCTTAGCAACCAAGCAAGTTATCTATTTGTACCACCCAGAAACTTACACCACTCACTGTTGTTTCTGTTGTTAGGTGCTGTCAAGTTCATTTCTATTTAGTGACACCATGTGATAGAGTAGAATTGTCACATTGGTTTTTCTAGCGTATAATCTTTACAGGAGTCAATGTCCTGTGGAGCTGCTGGGGGGTTATAGCTGCCAACCTTTAGGGTTACTGATCTATTTGGTAGAATCTCTTCAAAGAACCTCTTCCTTACACTGTAATATCTTGGAGTTCTTAAACTATATTTTAATGTTTCTCCTTTTTTGTTTTTGTTACTTTTGTGCTATTAGTGAGCCTATTTCTATGCTATCTAATATGCTTTGTTATTTTTTTTCTCTAATGTGCTTTTTGCTGGTAAATCAGGTAGCCAAGTAGGAAAACAGCTTGGGGGAAGCATGAGAGGAGTAGGAGATTCACCACCAGTTTTAGCCCAAGGGCACTCCTTTGAGGCTGAGGTCAGACATGTCTCCATCATCCAACTTTTTCACCCCTTCTAACATCAGCCATCCCTCCCATAGCATTCTACTCTGCTGGGTTTGAAAATTCATTGCAATGATCACACAGAACTCACAGACTATGCTCAAGATTATGGGGTTTATTAGGAAAGTTAACAGGATCAGAAGTGCCCAAAGCACAGTTCTTTGGTCAGGATAAGTCTTTTCTCAGTCATGCCTACAGGTACATCTCTCTGACCTTCTCCTTGGTCTGCCTTCTGCTCTGCTCAGACAATATTACAAAGCTCTTTGAGCACTGTGATAAATACCCAAAGAATACTCCACTCTGCTTTAAGCTTCAGCTCAAAGGCTCTTAGCTCTAGCTTTAGTGAGTCAGCATACTTACCTCCCTAGTTAAATGCATGAAGTCACTTTATTCTGCAAGTGAGCCTCCTGCCCCAAGGGACTCAGCTTTATTTGTTCCATGGGCTGGGAGGCCAAGTGTTCTTTCTCTTGTGCTCTGGTTCTTGGTTCTGCTTTTGCCACTTCTCTTGCGTCACAACTTTCTATCTCTGGACTGGGGAGGCCCAATGCACAAAGATCTTGGGACCAAAGGAAGTGTTTCATTTTCTCTCCTTTCTTGTTGGTAGTGAGATTTCGCCATCCTGCTTTTGAGATGGCTCATTGTGTATTCTTCGGGATGGTACAATTGACCAACCACAATTATCCCTGTTAAGAACCACTTACAAGTGAATTATATACTACAGCAGCATCTTCTACTTTCTCTAACTCAGACCAATCAGGAAAAGATCATTTGGTGGGAGTTATAAAGGCTATGGCTAGAAAAGATGTAGTAAATATTTCACTGCATTGCATCAAGTATGTTAGTGTTTTGTATAAAATGTGAATGCGTTCATGGACACTGTATGAGGCTGTATGCTAAAGTAAAATACATGAGCAAGGATTTGAACTCTATTGTGATTGCTGAGATTCATTTATTTTTTAATTTTTAGATGCATTTGAGATAGTTGAAATTGCTTCATAAGACCTTCTGCTAAGTCAAGGGTCACAGTAAATGTGGCTAAATATTTAGAAGTCTAGTTTGTGCTACTGTCTCAGTGTTCACAGGCAGCTGTTGAATGTCAGTCTCATCGTAGATCAACTCAACTTTGTCAGAAAAAATGATTGGTGCCTCATAAAGCAACAAACAATCTCTGAATCCGAGTGTGCTGACAAGCCTGTTAAAGAATGGGATCACATACTGTTTATCACTTACATGCAATGAACTTCTGGTGTGAAGACAGTCTTTACTTTTTGTGTTACCAAAGGACATTAGTTGCCTGCATCCACCCACTAGTCTCTTCAAGGTTTTAAAAAAAACTTATGATTCCTCGTCACATTCCTTTTTTGATTGTTAAATAGTTCTGACATTATGCTGCCAGGTACTTAGATTTTATAATTCTGTGTTTAGCCTTGTGAATGCGTAAACTGTAGAGACCAATAATGATACAATTAATGGTATTAACTTATTTTATATCTTATGTCTACAGTCAATATATTCAACAGGTATTCAATAGTATGTAGTAGATCTGTTTATTCAGGATATCTTTTTTAGTTAACTTACTTTTTTTTTCCCCTAGGTTAAAAAAATGATCATATTTTAGTACCTAATCAGCCTAATGCTTTGTTGATGAAAAATTTGCCATCACTATTTTTATCATTTTGGATTGAGACAATGAATCCAGATACAGAAGAAAGTACAGGATGTTGGGGAAAAGTACCTGTTAAACAGTGGAACATCTAATAACAGATTTTCAAGAATAACTAAAGAAATAAAATTGTTATGCTTCGATTTTGGTATGGTGTTGACTCTCTAGCACATAGGTAGCCCTCAAAAATACTCCAGTTTTTCAAATTATGGAAATTTTGTGGAAGACGCTGACCTGGATTTTGAGCCTCATCATGGTTTCTTCAGAATTTCATAGTGACCACAGGCTTTCATACAATTCTCAAGGTAGGATTCCTCCTTTTGAAATGGACCAAAAAAATAAAAAAGGAAAAAAAAAATGTTTCTATATCT